TGTAGCCATGATGGCATGTGGAAATACATAATAATGCTTAAAGCTACAAGCAGACAGCATTATCAGGGAAAGGCTTTCCCCTCCCACTCACCCCTTGTCTATCTGTTTCTTTCCCGTTGTCAAAATTTAGCATCCTCCACTGAGAGACTCAGTTTTGCTCTGATGCTTGGAAGGCATCCAGTCCCAGCTTGCTTGCTTTCCCTGCCAGTCTCCACAGGTATTCCATACACAAGGCTTGTCAGGAAATGCTCTCTCTTCTCTCCACACCCCCACCCCTCCCACCCCCTGCAGGGGAATCTCCAGTGCTGGGGTTGTTACAGGATCCCGGGGTCAGACAAAGTCGTTCATTCTCTCTTTGACGCATCAATCGCCTCTGCTCCTCAGCGCACTGTGAAGTGCACTACAGAAAGAGAGGAGCCCTTCGGGAGGAGTGGAGGGCAGCTCTCAAGAGGCATTTGCACAATCCATTTGTTATGTCAGATCACAGAGGAAACAAGAGGAAAACCTGCCCTGTTTTGGTACCAGCTTGGCCAAAACTCATTTAGACATTCAATAAAAGGGGCTCCACGAGAGACAGTTTGGACCAGAGACTAATGCACAGACTGAATTCCATGTTTGAGATTGACATGACTCTAGTGCTGGCTCAGCAAAACCAAGGGCAGCACCTTCCAAGGCTGTGCCAATCAAGAGGTCTTGGTGCACAGTGGATTTCAGAGGTCAGTTTTGAGGGAGCAGACTGGTAGACTGAGGTGTGGCAGCTGTTAGTAAAGTGGCCAAGTGGTGCCCAAGGAACAGCTGGCCAGCTGTGTCTTCAGCTACCACAGCTGTCCCAGCAGGACCCAAAGAGAAGCTGCAAACATGCTGAGTAAGGTGTGTGAAGTCAAGCAGGTGCAGAGGCCAGGCTGGAAAAACATGGACAACTACTTTCCCACAAAGCTCTGGATTTATAAAACTTCCTGTTCTATACTGGGACGGGAAAAAGATAGTTTTATGTGCCTTTTTTTTGTTGAAACCAAAACCATAAGTTAGAGGCACTGAAATTGGCCATAAGCCAATAGTTCAGGTATTCACTTTATTCCCCTGGGATTTAGGTGACCAGGTCAAAGTCCCTGCACCCCTCTGAGAAATTTTCATTGAAAAATGCTGACCAACTTCAAGAAAGAAAGACTTTCAGCAGTGGCTGTGGCACAGACGAAAAAAAGGGGATTTACTGGTGGAGAGACAAACACAAAGTGAGTCTGAGATGCTGCTGTTCTTTGATCTTAGCACTTTTCTTGTCTGGCAACTGAGTTCAAAGGTAAGAGAATGAGGTTAAGATCTAAGATGCAGCACAACTTTTGTTGTTACTTCACAGACTGCTGCAGCTATAGCAGTAAATTAGAAACTGAGAGAGGGGCTGGTACTTCAGGCCAGTGATTCCAGTGGAGAACTGAAAATATTTTCCAAGGGAAAGTGGGCAAATATGGAAGGGATTTGGGTTTTGGCAGTCTTAGGAGACAAGTTCTCATGTTAAAGACTTTGAAGCAGGGAAGTTTCAGTTCTGAGACCTACATCATTCCATGTGTAGTGCAGGTGGGGAGTAGAGAGGTACAGTTTGGTACAAGAAGCTCTGATGGATATGTCTTCAGGTAGTACAATTCGGGAACATAGAAGGTGGCTTGGTACCTGCTTGGACATGATTCAAAACCCTGAAACGGCCTTTCAGGTTTCTAACTGAGTGTAACTGGTCCAGATCACATTAGAAATAATATTCCCCAGTCTAGTATTGTGAGTAAATTTTATTCCATTATGAATAGCCTCCTCCCTGGGATGCAAGAGTAATGTTACGTGTAGAGTAGCTGAAAATGCTTCAGAGATTAGCCTTAGCACATAGCTCACACCTACAGACTCTTCTGTAATAAATTAGCGTGCTCAGTGGATGAAAAAATATTGGTGAAGCAGCACGACTTGCAGTCAAGCTTCAAAAGGGTTATTATGACTGAGCAGCAGTACCTGCTCCCCCGTATGCCTTTCCTGGCTGTGCCACAGGTAGATTCACACTCCTCCTTTGCAGCCTTCCCTTCAGCCTCCCCTTTCCAAATCATCCTTCCCTCACTGACCTCCGCTCGTTTTTCTTGCAGGCACCATCCCTAAGTCTAGCACACCTTTCCCCTCTATGGTTTTCTTTTTAAAAGCCAGCATAAACTAACAGGATATACATGTGCACACAATCGTAAATGTCTCATGATCCTGTGCTGCTATAAACCTCCCTTTTCCAAACACCCTGCTGGCACTGTTTGCTTGTTAAATAAGCCCAATGCTGTGCTTAAGTCTAACTTTTGTTGTAAGAGCTTCAGGAGAGGGCCAAATCACTTTGTTTTCTTGTAAATCACTGGGGTACCCACAACCCTGAGGAAATAACAATAATAAAATTATTAATGTTCTAATAGCAGCCTCTAAAAGCTAACAACACTTGCAAGGCTTGGCATTTGTTTTTTGCTCAGCTGCATAGAAAGGGACCTAAAATCAAATCTGTGCAATGTCTATTTTAACACCCAGTGTTTGATGTGGATTATGAGTAAAGCAGCAAGTTAGAACAGCAGTAGCTTGTTTGGAGACATTAGGAGCCTCGGCATAGCTGTGCTACAGCAATTTGATCAGACTCACAGCTACCCTGCATGGCCCTGTGGGGTACAAGCTGTGTTTAACAACATTTTTTGAACTCCAGTGACCCAAGTGAAAAATAAGCATAATGTGTGTAACAAAGCAAACTCTGTGTCCTGGCTCTGTCAGCACAGAGGGCAATGCTTTCCTACAACTTTTACAGACTGGTCTGGTTGTTACTCTGGGTATTTGCCTTGCCTAAATTGCACCTAAATGAGCACAGGGAAGTATGAGCCTAAACTGTTTTGGAACCTATACATGCAATCCATACAACTCCTCACATCCTGAATCGTAGCATAGCTGGGAAATGCAAGAAACAATATTTAGCCATGTTTGGATTCAGCACTCAGGCTGATTGGAAAGTGGACTGCATTCAGTCATTGGACTGCAATGGATGCTGTCCCCATCCTGAAGACATTGTCAAGTCAGGGACTTGACAATGACTAACCCTTTCTGAAAGTGGCTAGCTCAGGACCAGTGGCTTCCTCCTAAGCTGTCAGTAGGAAGGGGTTTGCTATACATCAGATCCGCTAATCTGATCTTCCTGCCCTGTTTTCCCTTGTGTTTCTTATTCCCTATTGATTTAGGAACATCCGGGAGGTTTTGGATAGTTTTGTGAGTGAGGTCCAGGTCGGGACTCAATTCACCAGGAGTGAACATCCTGAAGAGCTTCAGCACACTCATATTCCCTTCATCCCGGCATGTTCCCTGGAGCACAGCAGGGTATCTGTTCTGGGTTGGGCTTCTCCCAAAACACCAGTGCTGGAGGATGAGATGTAGTGACTGCCAGAGGAAATTGAAAAATTGGAAAGTCCTGACCTCTTCCTCAGGGCTTTCATTTTCTAATTTGTAGGTGGTGCGTTCCAGGGCATAAAGGACACGGGGCAGAAAAGCTCCGTGAGTGCATGGCCCTGCACGTTGCAGCTCAACCTGAAGCGCTGCAGTCAGCAGGGCTTTCTGCCAAGGAAATCCTACGCCCAGTTCCCTCCTGGCCATCTCTGGTGGGCTGCCTGGAGGGACAGCAAAAACCTCAGTGCACTTCCTGAACAGACTAAGGGATAACCACTATTCCCTGCCCGGGCAAGGCCACCTCCACTCTCCAAGGGCGAGTGTGTGCGCGCTCAGTGAGCGCATAATGGCAACCACACTCATCTGCAGAGCCACCGCGCCGCGGGACCTCTGTCAGTGTTGCATGAAGGGCTTTGGGTTCCCTGGCGTAAAAAGGTACTAGAGAAAGTCCAGCCCTTACCTTGTTCTATTTCCTCACCTGAAATCCTGGGCTGGAATGGCCAGAACAGGTTGTGAATTTCCAGTGATCTCCAAATCAGGCAACAGCAAAGGGACCCCCAGGTCTCATTTAGAGACCTTTAAAAAAAGCAGACAGTGCCTACCTTCTCAGTCATTTTCCAAGAGGAAGGGAGGACAATGAAATGAAAATCCCTGAAGACCACTAGGGAGGGCTGCAATTTTCCATGAGAGGCAAGCTGAGGAATTCCCACACACTGTTATTCCCCAAAATTTCTACTGCTGGGTGTCAATTCTGCTACAGATTTCACAATTCTTACTGCAGGCTGATGATGTTGTGTGGGAGAACACAGGAGACTCGCTGAGACTGCCAAATTGCTAAATACATGTGATGGTGGGCTCTCCCTTCCTCCATGTGTCTGAGCCTTGGAGGGAAAGGGGGAGGAGAGCTCAAGTGGCGCAGAAGAGGGAGGATGGATTAAAAGCCGCCTCTGTCATTGACTTGTTCCATTCTTTGGATTATTTCCCTGGGGTTCTTGGGTATTTTTGTTATTAATAACTAATAATAATTTCTATATAGTGCTTTGCATCCTGAAGGACCCTAAAGCACACCACATACTTCTTAAGCTAATTAACAGCTGCAAGCCTAATTCCTCTCTTGGTTGTGGCCCTAACTGCTGAAGGAGCAGCTTAGAGTCACACTAGATTTACACCAGTTTAACTGAGGACAGCGTCTCCCTATAGATCCAGCTGGATATGTCAGAGACAAATGCAATGTGGAGCTGGAGATGAAGGATTTGAAGTGTGTTTTCTCCTCCTTCATAATTTAAAAATGACTAAGGAAATTGCATTCAAAAAGCCTTGTGAACACAGCATTACAACTGCAAGATTCAAGATTTGGAGTTTGGGAATAGCCAAACCCTGGTTCCTGCTGAGTTAGAGGATCAGCTCATATCTGTACTAGGCATGCACAGCTTGTGGCTCATCCCAGGCTGTGCAGGACACTTTTCACTGTGCAAGGTTTTCCCTCTTTTCTTGCCTGTTAAGTCCATGTCTGTACACTGTTACTTAGAGTGACCATTAGAGTTACAGTCTCATCACTGATCCAAAACATGACCTACTGCACAAGGTGAGCCTGGCTCTGTCCACTGATGCACACTCAGAGATCAGCAACACAGTTACCTCTGAGCAGAAAAATGCAACACTATAGGATGAACTAAATCAGAAATTTTCTAGTCTGTGGTTTTCCTCTACATACTTCTGGGGAAAGACTAATCCATTTGAGCTCAGGGTCTTTGAGTCCAAATTTGAGATGGTTCAGTCCTTATGTCCTCATCCAGCTAGGATGTTGTTTACATGCTCTGATTTCTGAGAGTTTGATGTTGTAACCCTATATGCAAAAACTGTCCTAGTTACAGTATTGTTGCCATGATAGGGAAAAGGAAAAAAAAAAAAAAAAAAACAGCTCTTAAATACTTCCTCCATCCCATTCACCCCTTTCCATCCAGGCTTAAATTAGTGTCTTCCTTCCTCTCACATCTGGATGTACAGCCGTGGATTGGGATTGCCTGTGGTAGCTATGGAGCATCTCGTCTCCTCCCACACCTTATGCACATCACTTCTCTCTCACTGCAGATAATTGCATCACCCTTCCTGCCACTTGGCTCACAGTTGTAGTGTCACATTTGACTCCTTACACACACACATAAATGGTTTTGCTACAAATTGATAGGTTTTTTTTTTAATCATCTCTAATTTCTTGATTTCTTTCACTTGCCCTTCCTGTTTTGCTTGGACTTTTCTCCATGTCCTGATCAACTTCTGCTTTTATTTCTCCATCCTCCATCAGAGAAGGTCCAGCACTTAAGTTATGTTCTTTGAATTTGAAATCCAACATCATGCTACCACATCTGAGCACAACCACTTACAAACCCTTTTCTCAACTCTATTTCTGGTTCCCAGCTCATTTCAAATCTAGTTCTGTCTCTTCTTGCAAGGCAAAGGCGCTCCTTCCACCAGCTCAGATAATAGACCTTGAAAACTGGTACAAGGCTTGTAAGACAGAAAGTTCATATATTTTTCCTTCCTAGAGTGACACTAGTCACTCTAATAACAGTAGAAATTGTTTCTGATTTCTCTGCTGAGGAACCAGAGATGTTGCTCATGCTTTACTCATTCACTGAATCACACAGGAAAATATCATTATAAAAACCAAATTATTTCATTGACATATAAATTAAATCACGCGTTTGTTATATATATATAATTATTTGCAATGCCAGTGCAGAAGGCAAATGTGAGAAATAAAACACTAGGAGGAACACAGTTATCCACAGCTTTCAATGACTTAGATGAGCCTAATACATTTTTGTGTTAAGTACTATTTTCAGAAGAAATTTGGTCTGGGTTTGATTCTGACGAGGTCTAGAAAAAAGATGCAATTGTTTACCATGGGAGACGTTTGTACTGGGTGTCTGCAAAAAAGGATATTTTGAATTACTTTTATTATTGCTGTGTTGAGATTTTTCATTTGTGACTTGGACGGATGTCTAGCAGTCCCTGAAATCCAGCCACACGCAATGTTTCAGTTTGTAAAGCTCAAACATGCTGGATTTGCGTTTGCACCAAAACACATTCGAGAGCCTTTGCCCAATTTTCCCAGCCAATCTCACTTCTTTCCCTATGACAAAGCACGGGAAATTTCAAGCCACAGCGAGGATATTTTTGAAAGTTACAACCCTGTAAAAAGAGGGTGTTTATAAATGGAAATCTTCATATAATCTTAATAATAGGTTTTGCTACCACTGCATCTCCACCCACGTACACGGAATAGCTGTAGCCAGCTCTGAGGCAGAGTCTATGGGCTACTTAGCAGCACGCAGCAGCAGCATCGAGCAGGGTGGGAAGGAGGGGAGGCTGCCACCTCCAAGGAAAGATGCAAAGCGGTTCCAGGCTGACAGCAGTGCAGAGTCCAGCCCTAGCACAGCGTGGGCCCCCTTGGCTGCCGCAGCAGAGCTCTGCAAGGCATCATGTGGGCAATGCCAGGGTGGGATGGGTTCTCCTGCACTCCCACCCACACTGCTGAGGCTCGGCAGCAGGGACCTGAGTCACCTGCAGCAGCACATGTGTGGTCATCACACTGAAAGGGTGGTTAAGCATTGGAAAAGGCTGCCCAGGGAAGTGGTGGAGTCACCATCCTTGGAAGAGTTGATGAAACAACTGGACGTGGCACTTAGTGCTTTGGTTAAGTTGGCACAATGGCTGACAATCAGTCAAAAGATGTACCCGATGATCTCAGACATCTTTTCCAACTTAAGTGATTCCATGATCCTTCTGTCATTAGCCCCTTCTCCTTTTCCAGGTGATTGTTAGGGACAGCTACAGAGACTAAGCGAGGAGAAGAGCTGAAAAAGGCAGAACGGGAGCCTGGTATTAGTTTGGATGAGACTAATCTCCCTGGGGCTCTCTGGCATCTCTCTATAGCCCTCTCCTTCCACCTCATCATTTTCTCCTCAGTGCTACCCCATACTGCCTTCTCCCACTTACTTCTCCCATCTATGTCTGCATTTCTTTTCCTATTTATCAGCCATCTCCTGAATAAATTAATCTCCACAGAACCAGTTCAGGCCATTTTACTGCTGTAGCTTTGGTTATTGCTAATGTGCTGTGATACACCTCTTCCTCCATGCTCATCAAGGCAGCAGTGGTCTGTAAGACAGAGTTTGCAACATTTTTACTGCAACTCCCTTTATCATCTGACCCTTGGCAACAGCTGTAATAAACATGATTATTAATAATAAGGTGAGGAGGGCTGGTATAACGGTTCTACCTCGTAGGCAGGGGCAGATATTCTTTCATAACTATAAGATCAATTTCTATTTTGCACCAGTTCTTTTGCAGGCTTCTTCAGCACAATATCTGAATGAATTCCAGTGGCACATTAAGTGATGGAGCTTGATATCAGTCACGTGTGGTTTGTTCTTTTATCCTCTCCCCAGGGAGAGAATTATGTATGCAACGTACTGGTTATGTTGCTAGGGTTTTGTTTGGGATTTTTAATATATGCATTGCTGCATGTTTGCATTGAAGAAGACCACATCAAAGCAGGTGCTCTGCATTTGGGCAGAAAGGTGGCAAGATTTTTGATGGCCTGTAGTTCCCACGGGATCTCTGCTATTGTCCCAGGCTCAACTCCGCAGACCACATTTACTGTCCCACTGACCTTCACCTTGTAGTGGAAAATCCCTATGTCCCTAATGACAGCTGAGCACTCTTCAGTCCTAAAATTACCCAGCTGGGTCAAAAGGTATTACCCTAGTACAGCATCCCCTGCCACTGTGCAGGGTCAGAGCTGCAAGAGCAGCACCTGCTCCAGCCCCAGAATGACCAACCCTTGTGCTCTATTTTCTGCTTTAACCCTACACCCTGTAACCTGTGTAGTGGGGCAGGTGAAAAGATGGCCTCATTTTTGGAAGGTGAGATTCTCTACTGAGGGATTCCCAGAGAGGGATAATGAGCCCTTTTGCAGGGCCAGTCTTTCTTTCGGGAGAGTCAGCACATGTGGGTAAAAGCAGATGCCCACAAGCACTGTCTGTGCTCCCTGCCACCACGCTTTTCATCAGCTCCAAATCCCCCAAAATTATGTGAGCTCTCAAGTGCTTCATTCTTGGAAGGGAGGAGAGCAATCAAAATGCCTTCAAAAGGCTTTTCCTGTGCTCTTTGTCACTTCATGAAACCTCACTCCTTCCTCTTGCAGTCATGTCAGGTTGGGCATTAACAACTCAGTGTCACCAGTGTCAATTTTTGACAGGGATGGCAGACGTCCTCTCCTGGTTTGGAAGCCTTTTGTGTGTAAGAAAGGCATGCCAGCAGTTTGCCATATAGCTGTGGAATTTGTCTTCATAGCCCAGAGGCTGGCTCTGAGCCCCACTTCACCACCTGGTACCAAAGGGACACTGTTCAGAAACAGAATCCTGGAGCAGAAACATTTCTGTTTGTGTCTGACTACCTGTCCTTCCTGTGCCATTTCTCCTGTCTCTTTCATGGACAGATAGCAAACAGTTTAATCTGCACCAAAGTTTACTCCTAGGGCAGGCAGCACAAGTAGGAACTTCTGAGAAGTGCCATGTTTGCACAGCCTTCATGCACAGAAGGTCACATGAAAAATGAGCATGTTACATTTGAGCTAGATGGTGGGAAGAATTATCTGGCCCAAATGATCCAGTGTCTGATCACTTTTATATTTTTAGTACAAATATCTTCAGCCTACTCTCCTGAGGCAGGGGAATACCATTATTCCCATTTTGAGTGAAAGAAGGGGGCGGGGAGAGGGGGTAAGTGGCTTGCCTAAAATGATACAGGGAGCATGTGATGGAAAGTGATACTCAATCCTTGGCCAACACCAAGACATCTTTCTCAGCTTTTAGAGACAACAGCTATATCCAGCCCCCTTTATTTATTTCTCTAGAAGCCATCATGCCAAAACCTCTGCTAAATTAGAGAGTGAGACTGAAGAAAAGCTTTCAGTGGATTGCTTTTCTCCATAAATGGAAATATCACAAATCATTCTGGGAAAACAGGTCTTTCTGTTCTCATCCCTCTTTGTCTGCTTCTCTCCTTTTGGATGTCTTTTCCTCTGCCTCTGGCTCACAGTTTTCAGATGTATGGTCCTGACCATTTAAAAGTGTTCCTACCTCACAGGAAGGGAGTAGCTTTTCATTCTTTCGAACTTACTATTTTGCAATGGATTGCACTCTGCAGGCAAGCAAGACTTCTGAAAGGGACAGGGCTGCACAAAGCGGCACAAAAATAAACTGTATCACCAACAATACCGAGCTGGGTTCTCATCACGGGTAGCTCAGTCTGAGTATTGCTGCAGCAGGGCTGGTGGCTGCCAGCTGTCCTGGATAGACAGCTTATACCCAAACAATGATCCTGCCACACTGGAGGAGGTCTCTCTCAGAGATGAACACACAGCTGACATTGAATTTCATGCCTCTTAGACATTTAGTCCCTCTTGGCAGTATGAGAGATTGTCTCTGCTCCTAATGACCCAACTGGGCAACTTCTGTCCTTGGCCAGGCACTGGAAGGGTGTTTACTGCACCAGTCCTGGCTCTTTTTCTTTGCATTCTCCAAAGTTTGGGCAGGCAAGAAGCAAACGGTGGTGATCTTGCCTAATGACACCCAGTAACACACAAAGGATGCGGGGGCTGCTCTGTGCTTTTCCATGGACCTGGGCATCTGCAGCCTTCCAGTCCTGAGACAGGCTGATGCTCATCCCCGCCTTCTTTGCCGCCCGCGCACTCCAAAGCAGGCTGTTCGGAGGATGCCCACACCGATACACCAGAGAGAGGGAGGCGGCTGTCATGAGTGAGAGAGACTGAGAAACAAGAGAGAGATCTGATGGTTGAACATGAGCAAGGATGAAGAGAGAGCCCAAATTGCACTGGGAGAGCTACAGGGAGGAGGTGGAAGCATGTAGTTAAAGTTTCTCAGAGAGGTGTATGGGAGAAGACAGAGACGCATGCCCTGTTTCAAGGTTCACAGCATGAAATACCTTGAGCTGGGAAGAATGGGAAGGGAAAAGGGACTCAAGTAGAGAGGAGATGTTGCTCTTACTTCCTTGGGGGTGTACTCAGAACCCTACATGCCCTCCCACATAATGATTTGATCTTGCTCAGGTGTTCAGGAGTATTAACTATAGGATGGCACACAGCTCTCACCGTCCCTGGCTCTGCAGACCACACGTGCAGCACAAGAAAAGGCTGTTGTGTCAGACCTCAGCAGCACTGCTGAGTTGCTCCATCCCCCCTCTGTGCTTCCACCAGCACAGGTGCCAGGGAAGCTGCTGTACCATCTCAGCAGGCCACAGATGTCCGTCAGAGAATTGCCGAGTGACCTTGGCACAAGAAGTGACATCGAGGCCTTCCCCACACCAAGCGGGTTTCTGAACCGCTGCCATCCATCACTCACCTACTCCGTGCACTTTCGGAGCCGCTGGCACCAGCACACCCACACCATGCCCTGTTTAACACGTCCCCGTACGGCACCAGGCAGAGGAATCCTGTCACCCCCATTTTACAGGGTGGGACTCTGAGGCAGAGAGAAGTGGTTTTAACAGCACGCCTGTGGCAGAGCAAAAACTGAATCTTGTTCTCTTATATTCCCAGTTAGCGCATTAATGACCTAAATTCTGCATCCTTTCCCCATCCATCGCCCAGAGGAGCGAGGAGGCATGGGAGGAGAGGGTGTGGTAACACAGGCGAACAGTCAGCATCCAAACCCACAGCACTCTGTGCTGAGCACAGACAAAGCAGGGGCTAAAGTGGGACCAACACTGCCCTCATGAATCCTGGTAGCATTGATCTGGGGAGGGGAATCAACCTGGCACAGCGTATCAGCCTGCGGAGAAGGGCAACTCCACAATGTCACAGCATTTCAAGCAAGCCAAGGCTTGACACTCCAGTGGCCAAGTACCCTGCTGAGCCAGGTCAGCAAAGCCTTTGGGACACTGAGCACCAGTAGCAGATTTTCAAAGAGCCTGCATATCCCCTCAGCCTGCCTAAGCAGCCGAACCTCTAACCAGCTATCCCACGCAAGTCCATATAAAAGACAGCCTGCACCAGATGCAGCATCTTCCCCAAGCAGCTCAATTCTTTACATAGGAATTAATCAGCCTCAAATTCAGCAAGAAACAGAGCGGGGGAGAGGGAGAAAAAAGGAAGCAGGGAAAGGATGTCACACAGTGAGGGGGTTCCCAGATGCACTGCGTCTTCCCTCCCTGGCTGATTCCAACTGGGAGGCTCTGGCTGTGTGCCAGGAACATCACCTGGGAGGTGTATGCAGGTTCTGCCTGCTCCCCCAGCAAGTATGGGCAGGAGGAACTCAGTGTTCAGGATCTGCTGGGCAAGGAACTGAAATCTGAAGCTGGAGACCTCCCCAGTGCCCCGGAGTGTGCCAGTGTTCACATGCACTGTACAGCAGTGACCGCAGCCAAAGGACCAGGATGAGGAGCTGCTCATCTGTCACAGGCAGATGGCCCCAGGCAGTCAGGGGCAAGCAAGGGAAAGGACCCCCTTCATGCTGTATCTGCCTGCCTCAAAGGGATTTTAGTGGGCAAGTAGCAGGGTGGAAGTGTGCCAAGGCAATTTCCTTGGCTATGAAGCTTTCCTTCCAGAAAAGCCGTAGCTGAGAAGCAGACACTTTTTCAACGAGGTAACTGGATTGGGGATGAGTGATTAACAACCTTTCATAACCCACAGTTTCAGTGTGGGAATAGTATGTCAGAGCTACACAGAGAGGCTTTGTTCCTACTTTCTTCTCCTATTACTTACCTCTTGATGCACACACACTCCTTTCTGCTGTCTCTAGTCTCTTCATGCAAGCTCTTCAAATGAGCAGCTAAATGCGATAGGTACCTTGGAGGCATCAGACACAAGCCAGATGGATGCAGAAGAAGCCAAACTTGGGGGTTGACATAAAGAAACCCACCCACCTGCCTTCCATTTACTCAGCTATTTACTCAGGACTGCCTCCCAAAGCATCCCAAACATGAATCCATCAAGGCTTGGCCTCAAGAAGAAACTCAGGGAGAATCCTTTGAGTTTTATCCTTCTTCCATCTGTTCACAAATATCTGAAAGATCATTCAAATTAACCTGGAACAGACCTTCCAAGACATGACCTGGGGACCTAACATGGTGACTGCAGGTCTCAGCCTGGGTAGGGTTGGTCTGGAAGAGCTCTGTTGCTCTTCCCAGAGGCAACAACCTCAAGTGTGGCAGCTTCATTTTCTCTTGCCCTGCACACCCAGCTGATCCAGAAGCTGGGTTCAGGGTCAGGGTGGCAGGAGGCTTATCCAGGTTGCCACAGCATTTGTCACTCTTCAGACTTGGTCTCCAAATGCTTCCACTGAGGGACCAATGAGCCTGAGCCATTTTGTTGCTTGACCTCTGGTGAGGAGGCCCACGGGATCACCATGCCTACCCATGCACCTCATGCAGACACTGCATTTCTCCTTCCTGGACAGACTATGTCCATCACTTCTGTGTTGCCAGTCAGTGCAAGTGTCCAGAGGGAAATGGAATGGAGGGTAGGAGAAAAAAATTGTGGGAACCCCAGGAGATATAATGAAATCGTCTTTCACATGGTCAACCCTGTACAAGAATGGACAACCTGATCATTTGAGATATTAATTAATCAGTGGTCACGGTAGAAATTATGATGTGGCTTGAGGAGTACCTCTCTGGAGTGGTATTCCTGGTGTCAAGAGGAGAGATGAGTGATGAAAATAAGAGTCTGCTAGACTAAGACTTGGAAGATGTCACTGGCCACCTGCTGGGATGGTCTTGTTGGTCATGGAGTGTGTGAAAAAGGGTGCCCCATGACTGAAATTAGCAGAAGGCTCTGTACCTACACCAGCCTGATGGAACTGTGTCCAGCCCAGCTTCCTCCACTTATGGTGGAAGATTTTGCTCCCCCAGCACAAGGGTGTTTTGCTGTTGAGCTGCACACACACATTTGCACCAAACTTCTTGAAGCCTCAGTCTGTGAGGATACAAGAGGAGGCCTGGCAAAGGTACGCAAATACAAGCAGTCATGTAGAGAAAGTAGATTAAGGGCTTTTGTTCTCACACCAAACCAGAACAAAGGGATGTATCCTGCCCACAGAATCAGAGGGCAGCAAATTCACAGCTGAGAGAAACAAATACTTTTGCAACCCACACCTAATCATCCTGCCCTGATCCCCTCATTGCTGGGATCCACCGAGGGCACGCCAGGGGAAACACTGAGGTCTGATAATGAAACTCACAGTTATGCCTGTCTGTGCTGAGGGAGGGCACCTGTACTTTGCCCAGTATCTGGCTCCTGCTCCCATCCCACCTCCCTCAGAGGTGGGCAGTGCTCTCCTGCCTGCCTTCAGCAGGAGCCACCGAGCTTCTGCTGCTCTCCTCTGCGGAGTGAGGCGTGCTGGGCTTGGTGGGCGTCAGGCTGGATCCTGACAGCAAACCCCACATTCCTGTGCAAATACCAGGGAGATACATGCTCAAGTGTGCAAGGAGAGGCCCTGGGCATGCACACACGAGTGGGCATGCTGCCTGGGAAGAAGGCAGGCGGGCACAAAAGGTGATGCAGAGGGCAGCTGTTCCTGCAAGGCAGGTTTTGGTGTTCTCATTTGTTCTTTTTTTTCTCTTGTTCCCTAGGGAATTTTAAAGGTCTGTGTAAGCAAATCGATCACTTCCCTGAGGATGCAGATTATGAAGCCGATACAGCAGAATATTTCCTCCGTAAGTCCGCAGGCTCTTTCTGCAATGGCTCGTAGGTGCTAGCGTCGGGCGCCTTTTGCTTTCTGAACACAGGGTGGTGGAGACACTGGGACCTGTGAGGCTCAGTGGAAAACCCAGAGCTTTGTCACTCCCTAAAAATGACTCCACTCTCACCTCCCAGGGACCCTGCCCATGAGATAGTGCAAATTAAAACTCACAGTAACAACAAATGGCATTTTTATTTATTAGCAGAAATTAATTGTGATATAAAATCAGAGTCTTAATTCAAATCCACTGAAAAGCTGCCGAGGTCAGACTGGCCTAGCTGGGGCAGTGTGTGTGTGTGAGTGTGCATGTCCTCCTGAAGCAGAGGAAGTTTGTATTTCCTTATCTGATACTCCATTGGCACCAGACTTAAGAAATTAACTGGATTTTGACTGAGGAGCTGTCTTTACCTTTCCCCAAACACCGCTTCCCTACGGAGGCTGCAGATCTGATCTTTGCTGGTTTTAGCGATGGGAGCAGGAAGCAGGAATAAGGACAGCCAGAGCCCTTCGAAGGAAAGACCTGGTGCTCACCCAGAGCCCTTAGAGAGATGCTGAACCCTAGGCACAAGGCACGTCTGTAATGAAACCTGGCCCGAGCTCCATGTCCAGCCTGAGATGTGTGAGCGAAGCTCACAGCGCTTTGCGCAGCAGCACCCTGGCCACTAGGACAGATCCACATCATGCCCTGCCTGGTTGCTCTCCCCAGCCAGCATTTCCACCCACCCCAGAGGCAGGAGCTTACTCTTCCTTTAGCACAGCTGAGCAGGGAACACTCCTCCTTTTAGGTCTTCACCTTGCTATCCTGCCCTGCCTCCACAAGCCCAACGTCTTTTGATATCATGAGATCTTCTCCCAACAGAAATCTGAGATAAGTGCTTTTGACCTTCCAAGGTTAATCATCAGAGGCTTCCAAAGACCGGGAGTCTTTCAGAATAGCTCCTTGTCATCCGGGTGTGCTCCAAGCCAGATGTGGAGACCCAGCCCTGCGGCAGGGATGAGAGAGATAATTTAGGATCTGTGAGGCTCATTTGTATGTGAAAAGAGGCAGATCTTATGCTGCTTCCTCTTGGTTTCTCAAACAGTCCTTCATCCACTGTAAATTGTAAATAACCAAGGGAGATTGCTTCTTTCAGCTGCCTTTCTGCAGCACCGGTCTCTTAATTGCTGCATGGCCCCTGAACAGCAGAGCTGAAGACAGGGGTTTGATCCAGTTTGGCATAGGGATGCCAAAGGTTTGCAGGCTGCCTCCGAGGGCAAACCAGCCCTGGCAGAGCTACTTGAGAGCAAGGAAGCTGCTTGCAGCATCAATTGCACTTCAGAAAAAAGAGTTCGGGGAAGGGGCCAAACATCTCAAGAAGGATGGGTTTGTTCCCTCAGAGGGAACAAGATCTGAAGACAAAAACCGACCCAATGTCAGGACCTGACAGTGTTCCCAGGGGAGAGCCCTTTTTAAGAAAGAACCAGGCTCAAAGAGAGATTTGGCAAGTCAATAAAGGATGACTTGGGTCACTCCTGAGGGAACTGGGATTTCTGCTGGCTTAGACCTGCCTGGAGAAGGACCCCACTGAATAGCTTCTTCCCAGAACTTCTGTAAAACCAGAGTCCATGGGTGCTCTGCATGGGCAATGCCTGGTGGTACCATCAGAAACAGCTAGGAAGTTGTTTATCAGTATCAGAGTTGGCAATTTCCTCATGCCCCAGGGGACCAGGACAGTGATGGGGCAGTGTCCATAGCCTGGCTAGAATGGCTTAGCCATTATTTCTGCCAGCCATCCACATAAGGTGTCTTAGGACTTTTGAAATTAAATGCTGTTATCAGAGAGGGACCAGAAGCATCCCTGTGTTTCCTTGCTAGCAGATGCAGATGAATTTAGGGAGCATACACCACCAGCCCCTATTCTTTAGGCCACAGGCCCTGGAGCCAGGAAGACTGGATGATATTCTCCCCCTCTCTTGCTGGCATGGTCCTCCTGAAAGGCTGAAGAAGGCTACTTTCCTTCTCCATCACATGACAGCTGCAGCTTCCCATGTCAGTCAGCAACTTTGTGTTCTCCCAACAGACGTGAATTTCAGAATTACGACAGAGATAAAACTGATGTAGTCAGGACCAAGTTGCAGGACAGACCAAGCATCCCCCTAGAAACCCTCTCAAGAGTGGGTGTCTGCTTGACGTTTGCTTCCTGCCATTTAAGCTTCCCTTCGTCAAATGCCACCTTGTTTTCCAGAAGCTATTAAGATGGTTATTACTGTTATCCTGTTCCCTGAAACACAGCCAAGAAGAGCTGGAAAGCAAGCAAGAGAGGTTTCTCCCTGCCTTCTGCATTCCCCATGCACAGGCAGTGGGTTAGGCCCCCCTCAAAGAGCTGATTGCTTGTGCCTAGCAGGATCCAGGGGCCAGCAGGGTCTTTTAAGCAGGGTCTCTGCTCACTTGAGAAAAAGTCCTGCATTTGCTTCATTGGGATCATTCTTGCAGGCAAGGAAGGATTAGCTTTCATCCCCCTTCCAGATCTTTGCTCCACAAGCAGAATTGCACCAGCCCGTCTGATACCTTTCTTTATCAAGCAAGGCTTCATTTCACACTTTAACAGCTTATTTTCTCTTGTGAAGGCAGGAGAGAAGGCCTTCCTAGTTTAAAAAAAAATAGGAATATTCGCAACACAGACTCAGGCAGAACGCTGGCTCCCACTGAGCCGCCCACGAGCGGTGTGTGCGTGCGTGCCTGTGTGCGTGGGTGTGCGTACACACAGGCTTGGCCTTTCGCTGCGTGAACACGAGTCAGGCCCCCCAGAAGCTTTGGGGTATGTTTTGCATGCACATATGAGCATATACGTGCATCTGTGCATCCATGCCATTGCCCTCTGCTGGCTGAGCTCTTCCCATATCGACCGATGGAGAGTGTGCGTGTGTGGGAGCTGGCACATCCAAACCCATCACTGCCCTCTGGAAGGAGCCCAGTCATTTAATCACTAGGATAAGCCCCGCATTTCGGCACACAGGGCTGGGACTTTTTCTTCTCAGTCCTCACTGCAGCTGCAGCGCAGTGCATGGCACCACGAGCTCCTTCTCAGCCCTAAAAAAAAACCAAAAAACTTCTCCTTGAGATGCTCATGCCCTTTCCGGAGGATTTGAGATTGAGCAGCTCTGCAGGAAGCATTTGGGTTGCTGCTCTTTGAAGTGCAGGCTTGAGCGGCAGAGCCCTGCAGAAGGAGAAGCTGAATGGTGCCTGGGCTCCCCCTCCAGCCCACAGTTCCCCCAAAAAGAGAGGAAAAGACAGCGTGAGGGGGCCCAGACAAGTCAGGCAGGCTCCCAACTCAGCCACCAGCCCCGCAGTCCCCTCTACCTCCCTGCGCTGAACCGCCAGCTTCGTGACAGCAGCAGTGGCCAGGGCATGGGAGAGTTGTTTTGGACCACTCTCTTTTTCTGACACACTTTGTTTCTCTCTCTCTCCCTCCCTCCCTCCATCATCCAATGCCTTTATCTCTCCTTAAATTACTCCCCTACTGCACATTGCCCTCTGCCTCTCCCCTTCACCCCCACCCACAAAACGTGCTCACGTGCCCCGTCCCCTCACTCCGGCACCATTTCCGTGCCCCTGTTTGCTGTCTCTCACACCTGTGTTGTTCTTTCTGCCCTGCCCTCCCTCTCTCCTCTGCAGGGGCTGTTAGAGCCTCTAGTATTTTCCCGATCCTGAGTGTGATTCTGCTTTTCATGGGTGGACTCTGCATTGCAGCCAGCGAGTTCTACAAAACCCGACACAACATCATCCTTAGTGCCGGCATCTTCTTCGTGTCTGCAGGTAAAGGGATGCACAGGGCCTGATGCCTCGGGGGTGGGCTCCAGGGGTTGGGGGGCATCTGCAGGGGTGCAGTGGCCCAGGCAGATGAGTGTGCATTTCCCAGCCCTGATTAGCTTTATTTGGGCTGAAAGCAGCACCACGAGGATGCCTCTCCATGCTGCCTGCTTGCCCAGCAGAGGCAGGCAGGCAGGGGCTTTTCTCCTGCTTGGGAGCTGACGGAGAATTTCCCTAATATCTGACATCTCTCAGGGACCCGGAGTGCAGTCCAGGGAAGCAGCAGGCACCTGAGGAGGGTTTTGCCTGAGTTTCCCAAGTAAAACTGCCCATCCAGGAGGGGACAGGCAGGGATTCAATCCCACAGCCCCCACCACTGCCACGTGTGACCTTCCTGACATCTCCTTCTCTCTCCCCTGCCGGACGGCTTGCAGGTCTGAGTAATATAATTGGCATCATCGTATACATATCAGCCAACGCTGGAGACCCCTCCAAGAGTGACTCCAAGAAGAACAGCTACTCCTACGGCTGGTCCTTCTATTTCGGGGCCCTGTCCTTCATTATAGCCGAGATGGTGGGAGTGCTGGCTGTCCACATGTTCATAGACCGGCACAAACAGCTGCGTGCCAACGCTCGTGCCACGGACTACCTCCAGTCCTCCGCCATCACCCGCATCCCCAGCTACCGGTACCGCTATCAGAGACGCAGTCGCTCCAGCTCCCGCTCCACTGAGCCTTCACACTCCAGGGATGCCTCTCCCGTCGGGATCAAAGGGTTCAACACCCTCCCATCAACAGAGATCTCGATGTACACCCTGACCAGGGACCCGCTGAAGGCAACCACCACCCCCACCGCCACCTACAACTCCGACAGGGATAACAGTTTCCTCCAGGTTCACAACTGTATCCAGAAAGAGAACAAGGACTCTATCCACACCAACACAGCCAACCGCCGGACCACCCCGGTATGAAGCCGTCGCCAGGAGCTGAAAATGGGGCAGGAACGGGCAGGAGCAGACGGGGGTGGGCTGCAGGGTGGGGAGGGTGGAAGGGGGCANAGCAGGGGGGGTGGGGAAGGAGGAGGTGGAAGCGCCCCTTGGTGGAGTGGGGACCTTCCCAATGCAAAAAAAAAAAAAAAAATCCACAAAAAAACCAACAAAAGCAAACAAAAAAACTGACAAAAAAATAAAAAAATAAAAACAACGAAGGAACAAGCAGATAAGCAGACAAACAAGCGAGTGAACAAAAATAAAACCAAACAAATGAAAAGGAAACATGAGGAAAGAGACAACAGTGAAAAAAATTCTTAAAAAAAAAAAAAGAAAAAGAAAAAAGAAAAAAAAGAAAAACCTTTAAACTGAGAGAAAGAGATTTAAAAAATAGAAATAAATTTAAAAGAAAATGCATGATTTCCCATGTACCATTATTTTAACATTTAATAAAAACAAATTAAAAAAATAAAAGGGAACCAAGAAATAAAAAATTACAATAAATCAAGTGGGAGGAAGAGGAGGAGGCAGCTTTTTTACTTTTGGGAGGTTTTATTATTTTATTTTATGGTTTGTTTCCCACTTACCTTTAACCCAGCACAAGCTTCTTGGGGAACAGGGGATGGGTGTTCGGCTGCCAGTGACTTCAGTGTTCTTGGGCCAGTTATGGAGGATTCTGGGTGCTGGAGTTAGCCATGACCCACTCTGTTCCCCTGAGACCCATGGGGATCCACTCCATTCCCCTAGGATCCGTGGGGATCCACTCATCCTCCACAGGTACCTAGGGGTTTAAAGTGACCCTAGGGAGTGCAGGAGCTGATGCTGAGTCACCCCTCCACAGTGTCCCCAGGGGGGTCCCCACTTCCCTAGCCCTTGGGACCCTGGGGTTAATGGTGACAGTGCAAAAAAACAAACAGACACAGTAAATACACACAAGCAGAGACAAACAAACGGAAAAAAAAAAAAAAAAAAAAAAAAAAAAAAAAAAAAAAAAAAAGAAAAGGACAAAAGAGGTTTCTTAAAAAATAAAGTGGCAATTTTTTAATAAAACAACAGCTATAAATAAATGTAAATATAATAAGTGGATTTACTTGCAAGAAGAACAGATAGTATTTTTTTCTTTTAATTTTTGTTTTCTTCAGCTTTAAACTGTGAAAAAAAGTAAAAAAGGAAAAGAGGCAGCAGGGAGCTGTGTGGGAGGCACAGGTGGGGGGGGGGCTGGTGGAGGACAGCTGGGGCTCCCATCCTTTCAGGGTGATGATGCTGTGGGGGGGACACACACGGGATGCTGTGGGGGGGACAGCACTCACGCACACGTGTGCCCATGCTCACACACTCGTGCCCTGGTGGGCGCATGCTCTCCTGTGAATGCTCCAGAGGCTCCCCAGGGTGGCCACGCACCCCTCAAATCTGCCCAGATCCCCCTTGGGTCACATCAGTGGGGCTGCAGCCACGTAGGGGCACGGTCAGGCCACCCAGCCGCCCCCCGAAGTCGCTCCCGTCCTCGCCTGGGCACAGGCAGCACACCGCGGCCCCAGGCTGTGATCCCGCTGCCGGCCATCCCCACCTCCGAGCCCCCAGCGCCCCTCCAGGTGCCCCGCCAGCGGCTGTCCCTGCCCGCCGGCTTTTGCCCTCCTCGCCACCCCTCTCCTGGGGGTCCCCCACTGCCGTGGTCGCCTCCATAACAGCAAGGCAAGGCGAGCTGGGTCCCCCCATCCCTGCCGGGCCCCCAGGCTCCCTGCCTGGGGCAGCGGGGAGCCAGCTGTGAGCGCAGCTCCCTCCAGCAGAGCCGGGGGCGGAGGGGAGGTGGCAGCAGGGCTGATGGGTGCCTCTGACACCCGCGGACACCGGCCAGCCCGGGGCCAGGACAGGACCCCTTTGGGGCTGCCCCCCGAAAGCAGAAGTGCCCGGGGCAGGCACAAATGCCGAGAGTTTGCAGGATGGGGCCGCTGAGCCCTTCGGCAGCGCAGACCCACTTTTCGGCTTTTTTTCCGTCCCCATTCCTGCTGCTCCAGTTTTAGGAGCTGCGCAGTCCCCGCTCCAGGTCCCAGCGGGGGTTCTGCTTTAAAGCAGCCAGATCCTCCCCGCTCCCCCCGACCCACTGCTGCTTCAGCCCCCCTTCCCCGCCCTGGGGTAGGGCGGGGGGGCAGCAGAGGGACGGGATCACCCCCAAAAACGGCATCACAGGGCAAGAGGTGGATGCGAGCGCCTCGGCTGGGTGTTCAGACCCTACCCCACTGCTGACATCCTCTCCCGTGGCCTCCCAGCCCTTTCAGAAGGATTCACAGGGGACATCCACCCCCTCCAAGGAGCCCAGAGGAGTAAGTTAAAGCCGGCTCCCCAGCGTAGAGGGAAGGTGGCGTTGGGGTTTCCATCCTCACCCAACCCTGCTCGGAGCTGGGGAGCATTCACAGGGCTGAGTGCGCCCTGGGGCCAGGAGGGGACAGCGCGGGAGGGCGCCGGGACAGCGTGTGCAGGAGGCAAGGGCTGGCGGGGAAGATTTTCCGCAGGGTGTTGCTCATGTCCAGCTCAAACCAGTACAAGAAACCAACCTCCATTTTCTTTATTTCGTGGGTTTTTTTCAGACTGTTAAAAAGAAAAAAAATTTTAAAAAGAGAAAATGACAAAAAAAAAAAAATCCTGGTACATGAAATAAAGATTTTTTTTTTTATAACTTGGTCCTCGTTTATGTGCATTTATTGGGGCGGGATTTGTAGTGCCAGAAGAGTTCCTCAAAACCTAACAAGAGAATCTACTGCTGTGGACAATTTCATCCTCGCTGGCAATTCAGAGGATGGTCTTGCTTCAAGACGGTCTTCAAGATACAGGAATGGATGAGGCAAGGGAAGAGGATTGTGGCACTTTGCCACAACTTTTTATTTTAAGTAAGTGTAGGTAAACTCAAGTCATACATGGGCTTTCTCTGCTGCCCTCCAAAACATCTGTTCCAGCCTCTCTTTAGCCTCCAGCATCTCCCCTCCTGTTCCATTCTTTCTGAAGATACCACAAAGGCTGATGCTCCAATTCCTGCTGGCAAACAGTGGCTCCTGTGGCAAGCCAAGAATTGCCAGCAAGGTCAAAATTCATACACACTGGAGGGCTCAAAAAGAAACTGACCCCAGAATTGTTTTGGAGTTTTGTTCAGCCACTCATGGCAATTTCCTCAATAGCTGGGTTGGCAGTGGGTGCCTGGTGGGAATGCTCAGCATAGAAGCTTGGAGCAGGGGAATAACTTACAGCTGGATATGCAGACCCAGAAAGAGATAAGGTGGTAGCAGAGCAGGGAGACAAGATCCCTACAAAGGGAACTAGGGTCCTGGCACATCCCCTCACCTCCCACTCCCCATTGGCAGCAAGGATGTCACCAGTGAGCCTCCCTTCACTCTGTACTGGACTCTCACTTCCCATGAGACCCTCCATGGCTTTCTGAATCAGACCAGAATCCCCATCAGATTCTGTCACCACTAGCTCGGACAGATGGCATGGAAAGACAGCCACCTGAGTGACAAGGCCTCTCTGTGTGTGACCCACAGCAGACAAATGAGACCTCAAGCTGAATGAGCAGCTGGGACCAGGGGAATTTATTTGGCCGGAGCAAGGAAGGCACAGCTGGCTCCAGGAGTCCCAGCAGACACAGCACTGCAGTTCTCCCTGCTGCCCAATGCACCTCACACATGTTGATACCTGTGCACAGCAACTGTATTCCCTGGCCAGCCCCAGTGGGTCCCCACTCTGACCCTCACTGCACCCCCTCCATCACAAACTCCTCCAGCTCATCCCTCTTCTTTGGGCTCCTGGTAGCACCTAACACCCACCCCAGCATTCCAGCAGCAGGACGCTTCATTGCCAAGGTAATTGGGGGCACCCACCGACCCATTTCTGCTCCTCCTCCAGGGACCCTTCCCAGCAGCGGCCTCGCCAAGAAGGAGGGCATAGGGAGGGGAGAGGCAGCAAAGCAGGCCAGGAGCCTGTCTGGGGGACACCAGGGAGCTCTCATCCCTGCCACATGCACATCTAGGAGGCAGCTGCCTTCCCACCCCATCTAGTGCACAGACACCCCCAAACCTTCTCACCTCCTCCTCATCTCCTCGCCTGGTTCTGAAGCCTCCAGTGCTGAGTGTTCCTGCTCAGGCATGAGTGGGATAAGCTGAAGGAGCCCCCTGCATTTCCTCCATCCATCTTGTGATGCTTCCAATCCTGGCCTGCTGCAGAGCTTGGGGAAAGAGTGTGCTCCCTCACCCTTGCCTGGATGTGGCTACACTTCCCACACAACGTCCTGCCTGGAGTGAAGGGGCTGCATGGCTGTCCCCCTCTGCAAAACTCCATGAGGCGCTCCTTCCTCACAGGGTGCAGATGCTTCTCCCCTTCTCTATCTGGCTTTTATGGGATAAAGCAGCACCGGCCTGAAATTAGGTGTGGGAAATGCTCCTCAGACAGCGCCAGCCTCCATGCCTTAATAATTAGTACTAATATTCAGCACTTATACAGCACTTTTCATGTTCAAAGCACTTTGCAAACATTAACTAATTAATGTCATATTAAGTGATGTCTTAGAGGGGCAGCATCGAAAGCAAACGACTTGTGCGTGGGCAGGAGCTCTCATTCCCCATCTCTCCCCAGGCACATTAACACTTAGGTTGGTGAGAGCCCCTAATGTGTTTTCCTGCTCCCCTCCTAGTTCTCAGTGCTCCCCATGCCATGTGCTTGCCATTCCCACTGCTGACTGTGTGCTCTGGCAGGCCCTGCGTATGCCAGGCGTGAGCAGGGCACCAGGGTCTACTCCTCGGCAGAACTGAGCCACTGAGGCCTTAGGGAAGCCAAAGACTCGCGACTGAGAGGTCAGTTAAAATATTTGGGTTGGAAAAGTTCCTGGCCCAGTCCCAAGCCCCAGCAGTGGGGAATGAGAGACAGCAGGCCCCTCGCAACATGGGCAGAGTGGAGAAGGAGCAGGCAAAGTCTGGTCCGATGCCTTCAGCCAGGTCCCTGTCATGCCCCAGCCTCGTGGCCTCTTTGGGGCCAGTGGTCATTCCCTGCTTTGAGGTGCCAGAGGAATGCAGTGCCTGGCCCTGTACAGGGCTGATTTTGGACAGCACCCCTCCAAACCTGAGGACATGCTCTCAAACGCTGGCCATGGATTGGTAGGAGGCAGGCAGGGCATCTGCCAGAGAGAGTGCTGCCCTACTCAGACAGAGCAATTTGCAAGGATGGCTCTGGCAAAGGATCTGAGCTCCAGAGGGCCTGTATTGCCCAAGGGATGCAG